TTTTTTTTGTTGTGCATCACTTCGTTCTTCATCAATTGTTTCACTTGATTTTTGCTCGAATGAACACTTTACCATCATCAATGTGTGTGTAAGTGCGAGAAAAATTGAGTTTTAAAAAAAACGATTATGAACATATAGAAATGAGACAAAACTTTGAGTTACTATAGTTGAGTATCAGTATTTGGGAAAAAAAATTCTTTGTTTCTGGTCGATGGATCATCATTATCATTACCAGTTCGATTGATATATGTTGACTGATTCTTATTGACTTGACGAAATGGAACAAAAAAAACCAATGATCAACAATGACAACAACAAAGAATTATGTAATACTATAACGGATAAGGAAATAAGTCAAGTTAACCCACATACCCACACACACACACACACACATGATGATGATACGAATGAATGATTTTTTTTCTTTGTTTCCTATCATTGTTGTTTATGTTTGACTTGAATTTTTTTTTCATTTCATTCATTCATTCATTCATTTATTGTTTCTAGTTCTATGTGTTGTGCCGTGTGTGTGTAGATCATCTTTCGCATATGATAGTGAGAATAATTTTTCAAATAATGGAAAAAAAAAAAATTTCACATCACATCACATTGCCACAATTGTTGTTGATGATGTAACCGAAAACGATTCTAGAGAAAAAAAAGGAGAGAAAAAGCCCAAGAGAAATGATAATCATCATCATCATCATCCACATCGTGATCAAGATGATGGTCGTCATCGTTGTTGTATACTATGATAAATCACAAACGGATGGAACGACAATGATGATGATTCTTTTGCTTTTCTCGTTGGTTTATTTTTTTTGTTTGTGTGGTTGGTGATTTGGACCGATGATGATGATCTTGTTGCATTTTTTTTTACAACAAATCTTGGAACATTGTTTGTGTGTTTGTATGTGGCATAAAATGAAATGAAAATTGATTTTAAGGGAAATAATAATAATAATAATAATGCCAACACAAACACAACAACAAAAACGAATGATGATGATGATTATTATTATTATTTGTTGGTCGGTTCAGATTATCATTATTTTATTTTGTTTTGGTAAAGAAATTTTTTCAACATGGTCCAAACCATAAAAAAATAACCAAAAAAAAATTGAGTTCCGAAACTACTTACTTGGTAGGGTTCACAACAACAACAACAACAACAACAACAAAACAACATTTTCATTGTTGTTGAAAATCCAAAAAACGAAATGAAATGAATGAATGATACAAACTAATACTACATGACTATAAACTGAAGAATATTTCCGAAACAACAAATAGTCAAATGTGTATATATAGCCGAATCTTTTGAAGCGAAAACTTATTATTTTTTATCATCTCTTTTCTTCTTCTTCTTTTTTTTATATTTTCAAAGATTTTTTTTCTGGTTAAGAAAAACTAAACAATGATGATTATCATCATCATCATCATCATGTTTGGAACTTTTCAAACAACAAGAGAAAAAAAACAACAACAACAACAAACAAACTTTAAAGATTATTATTATATATATATTGTTTAAGATGGCAAATGTTTGTAATAATAGTTACCGATGTTCAAATGATTTTTTTTGTAGCGGTTGATCTTTGTTTCATTGACTTTTGATTTTTCAAATTGCGGAAATCATCATTATAATTTTAAAAAAAATTTCGTTTTTTTTGTGTTACATCCGTTTCAATATCAATTTTTTGTTATCTTTTAAGGAAATTTTTTTTTTAAATATTGGATTTAAACTAGAAACGTGAGGCTTAACAATCCATGACAAAACAGGCTACACAATCACACACACACACACACATAAACCCGATGATCTTCTTGGTTTTTTTGCCGATGTTATGAACAATTTTGGTTATTTTTTTCTCGTTTGTCTTACCATTCATGATTCTATTGGATATTAAATCCTTTGTTTTTTGGTTTTGTTGTTGTCGTTGCTATATTTTTTTCATCACACACAAATACGCTTGGTAATGTGATGAAATTGATTTTCAGTTAGCGATGATTCAATTCCTGTAATGTGTTGGTGTTGTATTCATGGATTTTTTTTTCATTGTATGTATACATAGTGTTGAATACTAATTTGTTTGTATACAAAATAATTTTTTTCATTTTTTATCGTTATGGTTTGTGGTTGTCTGCATCATCGTTTTTGTGGCTATTTTCTATTTACCATGATGATAAACAAAATGGAAAAAAAACGTTTCGTTCTTAATTCTAATGGTTATTGTACAAAGACAACAAATTTTTCTTACAACACCATTGAAGATTATTGCACATATATTAGATTTTGGGATCAAAATCAAAAAGTCAATTCTTGTTATCATCTTCATCAGTTCTTCTTATGTTGACAGACTACAGATGTTTTCAGTGTTATTGCAAGAATAAATACAAAAAACAAATTCTTGTGATTATTGTTAACTTTTATTTTTTTTCTATTTTTTTCTATATATATATACCAATCATTATAATGATGATTTAATCACACATTTGATTTTGTTTTTATTTTTTCATCGTTTAATGGTTAAAAGAACGTTTCGCTACTTACTTGTTTGAAGTTTGTTATATTCATTACGAATTCTCATTAATTGTCGCCATTTTTTTTGTGTGTGTGTTCTGACAAATTCAATAAAACAATTTTATTTCGATAACAACTCGTCATGGGTCATCATCATCATTAGAAGAGAAAACAAGTGAAGAAAAAATATAATCAAAATCATCAATTATTGGTTTTTGTTGTTTTCAAATAAATTCGATGTTTCGATCGAAGATAATTTATTCTGTACTGTGTGTGTTTGTGTGTATTCTATATGGTTTTTGCTTCAAAAACATTGTTCTATAATTTATATAAATTGAATCGATCAACAATAACAACAATGAAAATGAAATGATGTTGAATGTTCAGAACAAAAATCCGGGTCTAAACAACAAAGAGAAAAAAATGGCTAGTTCAAAGTTTCAGTTGAATGAAACAAATGAAACAAAAAAAAATAATTAAGTGATCAGCACACAAAGGGGAATCAAACGAATCAAGAGTTTTTCATTTATTTTTGAATCTGCCGTCAATGTCATGGCCAATGTGTCTTCTAGTGAACAAAAGTAGTGGTCATCATTGCTAACGCAAATTCTTTTCACTTTTTGAGATTTCAAAGAATTTTCTAACTAAAAGGCAAACTAAATAAAGAATACGTCCGAAAACAAACTAAAAAAAAAATGAATGGAAAAAAATTAAAACACAATAATAAAAAAAAGGAAGACATTGTCATCAGCCAAAACAAGATTCAGAATCTTATTCTTTTATAAATGTTGGAGAATGACGATTTTTTTGAAACAATTTCTGACTAGCCTTTTTTCCTTTCTCTCTCTCTCTCTCTCTCTCTCTCTCTACATTTTACTATACTAATTCATTTTGACATTTTACGCTATGATGATCATATAACCAAAATGTATATGGTGATGTTTCTTTGTATCTTTTTCTTTCATGTCATACTATACATTCAATAGTGAGTTTCATACAATAGCCATGTGACCAACATAACATAAAACAAAAACCAAACCAAATTCAATGATGACGGTCAGAATGAAGAATAAAACAATGAAAAAAAAAACAATAATGACGATCAACATAGAAATTCTATGGACATGGACATGGAAAGACTGACCGATTCAAGTACCAATAGTTGTATAGTTGACGTAAAGTTCAATTGTTTTTTTTTGTTTCGGTAAGTTCTCGGTAAAAAAATAAAGATATAAATGTTTGTTTGCAGTTATGGTATGAATTCTGGTTGCATCCACAACAGTTGTACATTGCATAGGAGTCATGTTGAATAATTTTTTTTTTTTTGTTTTGTTTTGTTTTACATTCTATTCTAAACATAATAATGAAAAATCTCATAACGAAAAAAAAGTGGAAAAAAAGCATCATCATTGGGCACTGTTTTCTTTGTTATTATTCAGAATTCATTCACCAAATTCGACTAACTGCCAATTTTAACAAAATACACACATACACACACATTCATACTCGATTCTTTTTTTCATTCATCTCTTTTTGTTTCTATTTAATTCATTATGTGAAATTCTAATGTTTTTTTTGTGTCCATTCACATACATTCAAATTCTCTACATATATATGATTTTCATTATCATCATCATCGTTGCTGTTTTTTGTTTTGTTTTGTTTTGTTTTTGTATTTTGTTCAAAGTGATCTCATTAATTTCCACTTTCATCGTATTTATTTTATATTGCAAAACAATGGAAACAAACATCGACAATCATGAATGAAAAAAAAGAGAGAAAAAAAACGGAAAAACAACAAAAAAAAAATATAAGTAGAAACCAAACCAAACGATTCTTTCATTCATTCTTTGTTTTCTATTTTTTTTTTTTTTTTGCAAACTTGTAGTCATCATCAACATTGCTGTAGTCATTGGAAGAATTTATTTGAAAAAAATCCTCATTTTCAAAACTTCAAAGCTTTTTTTTGTTGGTATGAAACAAAAAAAACCCAAAACATTCATCTTACAATGATGAAACAAAAATCGAATAAAATAGGAATGAAATTCAGCAAAAATAAAAATAAAAAAGGGGAATAAAAGACGTTAATCATTATCCAAATAAAAACTAACTTTTTCTGGTTTTCCAAAATAAAACAAAAAACTTTATTATTTCCGTCACTACACACACACACACACGCACACACTTATGCTAGATCGATGTCACGTTCTGTTTTTTTTTACCATGAAATGATGATTTAGATTCACATATTTTCTATTTGTTTGTTTGTTTTTTGTTGGAATTCTATTTAAATTTATAAATCTAACAATTGATTTCAATGAACAACAAATGAAAATAAATCTCAAACATCTATGATTTCAATTTCATTTCACCATTGTTTGTTTGAAAACAATTTATATATGATACTTTAGATGTAATGAATATGAATTTTGTTGTTGTTGTTGTTGTTTTTTTTTTATTTGAAAAATTTTTCCAATCAAAGAGATATATTGTTGATTATTATTATAAATAAAAATATGAATATGAATATTTTAAAAATTTATGCTGCACGTCGAAATGCACCCAAATATGGTTCCATCTGTCGGAAAAGGTTAAAAGTTTTTGGATTTAAAAACGGTGTTCGTTTCAATTCTTCGCATACACGTTCTTTAGCACGAAGACGATTTTCCAATTCTTCGGCAAGTATTTCAATAGAAATGAAACCAATTTGATGTAATTCTTTGAGATCATCGATCGTACAACGGAAAAAGTATAATGAATTTGGTAATGAACTTGCATCTTTGATTGTTTGATGTATTGATTCAGGACAATTTTGTAAAAAATGACGAATAAATCCAATCACTTGAGCTTGAGTAGTGTTAAGACTTTGTAGAAATTGATCAAGAAGTTCAACATCGTTGATAACTTCATCACAGCTGAATGGTACATGATTACTAAACAATGATGAATGATCGGCAATGAATTTTGACCATTTTAATTTCAATGAATCGAGTTTGTTTGTATGCCAAAAATGGTACACACGACTAAGGCTATCAATCTTCATTGATTGAATGATTTTCGGTTCAACAATACGTTCAGCAATTTTTTCACCCAAAAATTCACGAGCCATTTGCAAGACAAACAATGAAACATTCACATCATCAATCGAATCAAATGCAGCCGTACCGGAATAAAAATAATGAAGAAAAATTTTGAATGCTGCTAATAGTTCTTCATTTGAACATTGATTTTTTTGTTTGTTGTTTCCATCAATATCATCATTATCATTATCGTTGTGGATCAATTCATTAATACTTTGAATCATTATTGGTTCATTTTTGTCAGCTTTTCCACTATCAAGCTTCTTTTGAATCCATGCGGAAAATTCTGGACTACTCGATTCGATTAGGATACGATGACCGGGTAATAATGTACCACATACTGAAAACAATAAATCATGGTTGGCTATGTTCAAATACCAGGATTCAAAATTTATTTTTGATTCATTTTCATCCACATCTCGTTTTTTTGTTCCTATTTTGTTGAAAAAAATATTTAAATCATAATGGTTTATTGAAAATTTACACTAACCTTGACAACCATTGGTTGGAGATAATGATCGTGCTTGTGGAACCGATTGTGTTTGCTGTTGTGGAACATATGAATGATATGGATATGCCAAATTGATTGATCGATGTGGTATTTGTGGATGATGATGTCGATGGCCAGTCATTCGATATACTTGATTGACTGCAGTTGGCATTGAATTATGTGGAATTTGAAAACGATTCATTTGATGAACTCTTGGCAAATTCCATTGATGTTGTGATTGATGTTGTTGAGGCGAATCTGTTGCTTGTTGTTGTTGTTGCAAATGGAATGCAATTGACTGTTGTTGTTGTTGTGGTTGTTGTGAAACAGTGGATTTACTTGTTTCTTCTTCAGTATTTCTGATGATTTCTGCTGGAATAACTGCTGCTTCATTAGGAATAGTTTCATCGAGTACGATATTCTCTGGTGAAATCGTCACATCTTGTGTTAATTCCTCATCCGACGAAACTGTCTCGGGAATGATTGTAGTTTGGCTATCAAGAAAGAATAGAATAAATTATTGAACACAATGATAAAATAAAAATGAATTACCCAAAAATTTGAGTCCAACAACATAACGATAAGATTAATAAAATCAATTGAAATTTCATTTTTTCAAATTTTGATTTCGATACGAATGATTATGATGATGATGATGATGATCAAATGATGATCACAATCATTGTTTTTATAGTTGAAAAATCGATCGACAAAATGAATCATCATGAAGGTTCTAGCTGTTAATGAAAAAACATATAACGTATTGCAATCGAATGTTTTGATCCGATCAAAATGTTGATAATTATAGACAAAAATCGAAATTCAGCAAAAAATAAAATCTAACCAAACATATCCGTTCTTTCAAATATGATCACATTTGTTTTTCGTTTTTTTTTTGTTCGAAACGGAAATTATCATAATTGTCTATCTATGTCTCTGTTTATGTTGATATCGAATAGCCGAATGCCAATGAAAATTAGATTTTATTTTCATGTTTAAAATATTAATTTATTATCGCCCATAGACAGATATTAGATAATTTTTTTTTTTTTTTTTTGATGAATATAACGAACCGAATGAAGTTTGGACTATCGTCAATTATAGTTGATATGAAAAATATTTGCCATTGTTATTGATATTGTTGTTGTTGTTGTTAAACAACAATGAATATAACATGGTAAAACATCCGAACCGAATCTGGAAATGAACGGAATGAAAACAAATTTTTAAGCAATAATGGCAGTACTGGTGATCAATCACCGAAAAAAAAAAACGTAAATCGTTTAAACTTCCGTTGTTGTCAGATGGATTTGAAGAGTTAATCCCAGTTTCAGAATGCCTCAAGGACAAACTGCTGATGCTGCAAATGAGAATTCGGATATGACCGAGGTTCCGGTTTTCGTTGGCTAATTTTCAATTAACCTTTGATTATGATTGATTAGCTCCGGTATCATGATGGAAACTTTGTTCAGAATTCAAGTGTATAAAAGCTAAGAAAATTTTTCGAATAAATTTTCATTTTTTTCCTGAAAATTTGTAGCTCGTTCAAAGTGAAAAAAAAGATGAAAACAACAAACGTATCATTGTTCATCGTTTTGATTATCGTTTCGACTTTTGTATCAATAACTTTGGCTCAATTCGGCAGAGGATTCGGAAATATGGGTGGATTTGGATTCGGTGGCCGCGGTTTTAATCGATTTGGTGGCATGGGTATGGGTATGGGCAGATTTGGTGGTCCGTTCGGTGGAGGAGGATTCCGAAGAGGTTTTGGCAATAGACTTGGATTCTTTGGCTGAAATATCCGATATCTAAATCATGACGAGTTTATTTCAAATATAATAATTCTTTATTGCTTTTGAAAAATTTGTAACAGCTATTTTTGTAATCAATGAGAAAACAAATCCAAAATTTATTGTCCACTTTTTCGTACTGAATAAACACGTTCATCACGTTTGAATGGTCCATATTGTGAATGAATGATTTCTGTTTGAATTGTATCGCCTAAACTATCTTTACAGTCATTACAATATTCAACAAAAGAATATTGTTTGAGAAATTCTTCAAATACATATCGATTGAATCCACAAAGATGTTGGCGAGCTTCACTCAATGGAAACCATCGACAATCATCGATTTCAATTTGGCAGGTTTCTATTTTCGATGATTGTTTAATCGGTGATAATAAGCAGACAAAATAGAAATCAGAACAGCCAAATATTCCAGTGTGATTATGTCTGAATGAGATGATCGATTTTAATGTACAATCAATCCCAGTTTCTTCTTTCACTTCCCGAATAGCTGTATTGCCAATATCTTCACCAGGTTCAGAATAGCCACCAGGAAATTTCCACATTTTTACTCGAGAATTTTTTTCTTGGATGAGTAAAACTTTTTGTATAACAGGATCATATACCAATCCGCCTACACCGACGGTGGTATGAGCAAATTTTGGTATTCGAGTTTCTTCATTTGGGATCCATTTGACAAGCATTACGAAATTTGGTTTAGCATGATGAAATTCAAAGCCATGCTTTTGATAATCAAAAAAAAAAAAAAAAAACGCAATCAACATTCCATCAACTATTCAAACAAGAATACATACCTTAATGAGCACCGATATCAAATGTGAAAGTTGTCCGGGTACAATAAACCAAATACATTTACGGCCATTTTCAATCCAAACTTTTATTTTATCTGTACAATTTTCAATTCTTGTTATTAATGTAAAATTTTATTATCAAATAACCAAATGATAATATAATTACCGTTAATAATTGTATCGAATGAATCGACAGTTAATTTGGATCGGATTTCATCCGATAAATGATGTAAATCGATTTTAATTCCATTATAGATATCTGTTTTGATCGTAATATCTAGAAATTTTTCCTGTTCCATCACAATAATAATAATAATTGATTAGAATAGAATTCTAATTTTTCAATACAAATCCAATCATATGTGTTGTTTATTTATATGTTAAAAATCCAAATTCAACTAGAATTGATCGCCATCTTGTAGTTTCAAATGAAAATAACCAGAGATTTTGAATACACATTCAACAAGTGTGTTTGTCTGTCTGTGTGTGTGCTTATTTCCTATTTGGACATGATAAAAAGTAGTTTTTTGCCAAGTTTAAACAAAATAACAAACAAAATTAAATGATGAATAGAAAGTGTGAAAAATTTCTTAACAGTATGCCGAAAAAAATAGATAAATTTATCATCAACACAATCAATTTGAGCTTTGAAATGAAATGGGTTTTTTCATCATCATCATCATCATCATCACACTTTTAATGATTGACTGTGTGTTGCACATGCCAAAAACATATGTATGCCATACAACAACAACAAAAAAAAATGCGTACCTTAACGGCTTCTGGCTTTTTTTCACGAATTAATTTGGCAAAAAAAAAATGAAAAATAAAATGATGAAAGTTAATAATGAAAAATTTACATTTGAATTTTCATTCTGCTTCACTCCCACTCTTCGAGGTTATTATATGTTTGTTTTCAATGTAAAATTTTACTTTTTCCAATTTTGTTTCTTGTTTTTTTTGCCTTTGATGATTATTTACGCGATTAATAGCTTATATATGATATATATGATGATGATGAGCACGACCAATCAATTGTTTCATATTGTCTTCATATTCATTTAAAATGTTTTTTTTATGGTCGAAAGAAAAATTTGATTCTTGAATTCAATGTTTTTGAATTTTTCATTCAAACACACATACACACACACACACAATGAAACATAAATCGAATATATAATGTTTCAATGTATACATTTTTTTTCATATACAGGATGTATTATGAATTTTAGAAGAATGTTATAAAGAAAATTGAAACGATGTTCAAATCGTGATAATTATATGTTTCATCCATATCCTTCCATAAGCCAGATACTACATCTGTTCTGTTCCATATAAAGTATGTTCCTTCCTTTTAACGAAATGTTTTTCTTTTTTTGATATTTTGGAATTGTAATCTATTTTTATACATTATGCATGCATACATGCATATTTATGCATACATTTAACAGACAACAACCTAATCCTATCCAATTATCGAATGGATGTATAATTTTTAGATGATAATAATAATAATAATAACCATCATGATCATCATCATCATCATCATCATCATCGTCCTTGTTTGGTTGGTTGATTGATCCGATCAATGGTTGTTTAGATTGATCGAATCAATCGATCGATCATCGGTTAGGATAAAAAAAACCGACATTATAATAACAACTATTTGATCATCCGGTTTGATTTTTATTTTTCCAAACGAGAATAAAATGAAAAATTCTAATCAAACGCAGGAAAAAAATAATGTAATCGCTTTCGATTATTAAATCTATAGCTTTTGGTTTTTAAATTCAATCATCCTCATCTCTAATTCCTATCGGGATAGAAGTATTGCAGATGAGCTTGTCATAACAAAAAAAAATGGATAAATCGATTACCAATGATCAAATTTGATTGTTTTCATTTTAGTATAGAACAATTGTCTATATTTGTAATTATTAATTGGATACTGATGATGAATGATTTGTTTTGATTGTTGTTGTTGTTTTTTTTTTTGAAATGTTTCAGGTTTTTTTTCTTGTTTTTCAATTTTTTTTATCTTGAATGATTTTCACTTTTGTTGAAAATGTTTATTGGATTGAATGAGAAAAATTCATTTCGATGTCAATTCAAATATTGAAATTGTACATTTGGAACTAATGGCAATTGACAAATGACAATTGATTATAGCCATGATGATGATGATGATGATGAAAATGTTACAAACAAAATGATAGGCTGTGATAAATGGATAATTCATTTTTAATGAAAAAAAATCATTGATATTTAGATTTTACGTACTTGATTTTTTTCAAAAAAAAATCACCATGGATTAGCTTTCACATTTCCATTTGTGAATGCATTGAATTGATTTATTGATATCGATTGATTTTGTCAGAAAATAAAATAAATTCACCTTAATATCATAATGAAAAGTGTTCTTCATTCGTTTTTTTTTGTTGGTCAAAATTCAATATCAACAGTGTGTATTGAAATCGATGAATATTTGAAATTGATGACGATGATTTTGATCAATATCTCAATATATAGCCATTTTTTTTCTTACGTTTCACAATCACCGTAATTTTTGTTACGTTTGGCAAAAGCTTGGCCCTTAAGCGAAATTGATATAAATGAACATATACATTTGATGATCAGTGTCTATTCAGTGCCATGCGAATCGCACACCTTTTTCGTGTGTGTGTGTGTGTTTTAGAGTAAAAATGATAAAGATAAGCTCAAATCAAGATAGAAAAAAATCGTAAATTGACCTAATCTATTGATTGATCTATTAATATATGATATGTTTATTAATCTATCATGTGTTGAACTTTATCTTCTAACTAACAGCAAAAATGAATAAATGAATTTTTTTTTTAAAGGTCGACCTTTTTACATTTTCGATTAACTTGTTGCTTGTTGAGAATCAATCGATCTGGATGTGTTTGAATGACAAAATGATTATAGGAGACCTATAACCTATTGACTTGAATCAATAAAGTGTTAGATTCATTTTTTTTTTCTGACATCATAATGAAAATGTTTTAATATAAGTGTTGTCGACAAAATGACAAAAAAAAATCCGACGAGTAATCTAGTTGAAAAAAAAATTCCAGAAGAAACAATTGAAATCACGATAAAAGTTTTAATTTTATCACGTTCTTTCTTAGACATTTTGATTTTTTTGATGATGATCTTTTCTTGATTGTGAAAAGAGTTTATCATGATCATCACCATCACTGTTAGATGGTTATTTTGAATAAATTGCAAACAAATTGAATTAATATTCAATGAACATTTTGACTGTAGAATTTGGCCATTATCATCATTATTACCATTTATTTCTATTATTTACAATGATGTGAACATATTTTTTTTCTCATTTGAAAATTTACATCAACCGTTCACATGTAAATACGATTACTGTGAAAACAAAACAAAACAAAAAACTTTCAATCATTGTCTTATTCAATTGAAAAATCATGACAAACGATGTGATTTAGGCTTAAATCATCATCGTCATCATCATAATTCATTGTATTTATCCATCATCACAACCACCACCACCACCAATGGTCGATGTTTAGGTTACTTAAAAAATGTCTACCATTGATGAACATGAAGAGAGAATATATGAAGAAAGTAAAGATAATAAAACAAAAATCAGAAAAAAAACAGAAGCAATTCAACCGATATTAGCTGACCAACTTTCGATATATAAGTCCATAATAAATTGTACTAAAGAAGGAAAAGTCATCAACATTGGTTAATTTGTCCAAAACAAAAAAAAAAAAATATCTGGCTGGTTGAATGGCTTGCTGTTGCCAACAACATGTTCAAATTTTTTTTATATTTACCAGAAGTTGGTCAACATTCCATTATTTTCATTCCTGTCCTGTCGTTGTTCAATCTAATATTTAGCCTTTCTCTTTCCAGATTTTGTTGTTGTTGTTGTTGTTGTTGTTTAGGGTTTAGCCTCCTTCTGTTTAAGTTTTTAATTCACATACATGCACACATACAAACACATAAAAAAACCACTTCTTGGTAGATTTTTAATTCATAATTGTCTGTATTTAGTTATATAAGTTTATTTATTATTTCTATTAATAAAATATACATAGGAAAACAAATACCATTACATTGAATCTGAATCCATCTGATGATGATGATGATATTCAACCTTATGGTGGTCAAACCAAAAAAAAAATCGAATGATCGATAAGATCGACTAGCTAACTGACCGATTCGTCTAAAATCTATCGAAAGTGATTGTAATAATCATATGGCCAAAAAAGAGAACATGCACATCAAGAAAAAGAGAAATAAAGAGAAAGAAATTCAAAGGTGGCCGCCACCACCAATAATCATTCATAGATTCGAAAATAGAAATCATACTATTATTATGAGGATGAGAAAAAAAAACGAAACAGAAAAAAAAATTTTCATGTTGTTTTTATTATCCTTAACAAATGAATGAATGAATGGATGAGAATTATAATGTTTTTAAATCGATATAAACAGAAAAAATTTTTTGCTGTTGTTGTTGTTGTTGTTGATGATGATGATAATAATAAGGGTCAAACATTCTGCAAACATCTAGCATTCAATATAGCAAATTTTTACAACGAAAAACACACATGTTTTGATTTAGTTATTATTACAATTGATGATGTGATGTTATAAGATTCAAATTGATTTAAATTGAACATTATCATATATACTGTTGTTTCATCTTTAGTCACATTTTGTGTGTTTGTGTGTGTGTGTGTGAATTTAATTAAGAAATGGAAATCGATCGTTGTTGTGAAGAAGAAAAAGTGAAAAAAATTTTCATTTCAATGTTGTTATAAAAAATTTTGATGAGAACAAAAAAAATTCATGATTCATGTCACCTGCTGCTTTCTCGAACTGTCTGTGTATGTGATTTGTTTTTGACGTGAAAATTCTATCAATCAATCGATATAATTGATTATTGATAAATTACAATCAACATACAATTGCAAAAAAAAAATTCATGATGAAATTATCAAGTTTATCATTGTTTATCAATAGTAGAACTATGCCATTCATTTTATTGTTTTATATACAAATAATTTTTCAATTATTTTTCATACAAACAATGATAATTATTCCAACTGTTCATGCACGTATGGGATTAATGAATAAACTTCGCATATTGGCATTGTTATCGTTAGTGAAAAAAATTGATGTTGTTCCATTTCCATTTCCAATACCGATACCGTGAGTAAATTTTTTAGAAAAAAAAAATTTTCCAAAAATTTTAAAATTTTTTTAATCTTAAAGGATTCATATTGATGGAAAAGAGGAAATTGTCTTCATGAATTCAATGCCATCAAATGGCCATTTATCACAGCCATCATATTCAACTTCATCATTATCATCATCATCATCATCATCATCAGGGTATGGCTATAGTGCAAGTGAATTATCACCCGTTTCAATATCGCCAAACAATGGAAATCATTTACGATATGGTGATCGTATTTCAACAAATAATAGACCAGCACTTGGCAATCATCCTGGACAAACAACAACATATCGAATGCGTAAAGAATTTCGTCATCGACAACCACCACAATGGTATAGGGAGATAAATAAAAATCAAAACAAACAAACGACCGATGCAAAATCTTTAGATCAATCATCATCAACAACAATTGTTCAAGATCCAAATGCTGATAATGTCAATTTAAAAGATATTAAAATTATTTTTATACCGATCAAAAATCTACAACAACAAATGAATCAACAACAAAATGGCAATCCAAATACAGAAACGACGATTATAGAATCCGATATGAAACAATTAACCGATGAGATTAAAGAACAATTGAAATCGAATAATAATCAACCAAAAACAATAATTGATAAACCAAATACTGATAATCGGACAACAATGGATCCATCAACAACAGTAACAACAATGCCACCAACCACATCTACTGTTTCGGTGAATAAAACCGAAACAGAAGCTCCCATCATTACGGATAAACAAATTGTAAGCTCACCTAAATCAATTGATGCCGAAGAGATTATGATTGATGATCATGATGATGACTATGAACGTCGACAGCTGCCACCATCATCGTCGTCGTCATCGAAAAATGTTGTAGAAAATCAATATACCGTTGATGCTCCATCTATTGATCAAACTTCAAAACCGGAAACTTTTACTAAATTTGTTAGAATGAATCAACCAACGACACCAACTATTTATCAACTTCCACCTCCACCTCCTACTACAGAAACACCCACCTATCAGGCATCATCGGCACCATTCCCAATTCCATCATTAGAATCTGAATGGTTGAAACAAAATTCTTATGTTCCACGTGCTCGTTATTATAAAGCTCCTGAATTAAAAATTCTACATCATCTGAAATCTAATCAAGACGAACAACATCATCAATATTTACCCCCATCATCGCATTCTTCATCCTTACCTCAACCACCATCAATAACAAATCAATGGTCTTCATCTGGACCACAAACTGATCCATCACATCCAATACAATTTCTTTATTCAGTATCACATGCCAACAATGTTCCAGTACCATCATTCCCAACGATATCTCCATCATCATCATCATCATCATCATCATCATCATTAAATTATAATTCATTAACATTACAAAGGCCACACATACAACCATTACAGATACAATCATCTATGGCAAGATTTCATAGATATCCAATTGTAGATAATTTTGGCCTCGAAGCATTTCATCGTCATCGTCATCAACAACAACAACAACAACAATATCGACGTCGGCCATTAATGATGTCGCAACGACATCCACTTATCATTAAAAATAATGCTATTGATGATATACAGCAATGGCCAATAACATCCACTTGGACACAACGAATGCAACCATCATCATCATCATCATCAACATCATCTTCATCTTCATTATTATCTCGTTTTAGTAAACGATTATGGGGATAGAAAAAAACAAGGTGGACAAGATTGATTCCAAAATTATCGATTAATTTTTTTTTAAAAATTTTATTTTCAAGTTTTAATATCTCATCCATATATATAGTCATCATAATATCATCATCAATTTGGTTTTAATCAGAATAATTGTTTGAATTTTTTTTCCATTATCGAATTGTCTTCAATTATTGTGTGTGTGTGTGTGTCATTGAAACTTGTTTGTTTGGAATTTTTTTTCATCAATCTAAATGTATAAATTTAAATCTACATATTCTGTATCCATTTTTTTCGAATCAAAATTGTCCAAAAAAACTTTTGTAATTTTACCGAATTTTTGTTTTGATTTTATTTTTTTTCATTTGTCTCATTAAAATTGTTATTTCAATATAAATAAATTCATTGATGATGTCATAATGATTTTTTTTTGGTAATTTCGTTTAACGCCAAATATTTACCTACATTGCTTTTTACCTTCAAAAACAGTGTTTTGATTCTCAAATCGATGTTGATAATGAATTCGAATCTTTTGACGGTTTAAATCCACGTCAAGAGATGGCAGCACAGTTCAAATAATTTTCAAAATTTAAATTTTTTTCTCAATTTTTTTGTTAATGCAAAAAAAGAAAGGAGGATTATGCAAATTTTTTTTTGCTTCACGCGTAGAACGAATGAGGAAACAAATATGGAAAAAATTTATTAACATTTTTTGTTTTGTTTGAAATTAATATCGGCACATCCAAAATCAACAACAGGTACAACATCAACAATTATTTAAAATTGACATAGAATGTTTAATATAATAATAATAATAATAAAAAATAAAATAATAAAAAAAGTGTTTGTGTGTGTGTGTGTCGGTGTTTGTACGGGAATTTGTACGTATGATGAATAATAGTGAAAAAAAAATAATGAACAAGCAAAAACATATGAGAAAAATAATAATAATAATTATAAAAAAAATCGAGCAGCAGAATAGAAAAAAAATCGCTGTTGGCAAAATCTGAATTCTATAGAATCCACTTCAAAAAAAAAATTGACAATTGTTCACAAAAAAAATCAACTCCACTATGATGATCATCATTCGTTCAATAGTTTTGTAATTTTTCATGTTTAATTGAATCGGCAATCATTGTCAAATATGAATCATTATATTCATCATTGGCTCCACTTGGTATAACATGAACATTTGTCAATCGATCATTACCGCCATATCCATCACCACCTGATTCTTTAATCTGTTTCAATAAACTACGACCATATCCTCTCCATTTTTTACTCGTATGTTTACCCATTGGACCAAATGAATCACCTTTCATAAAGCCACCGCCCATCATGATATTTGGATATTTGAGACTGTTCTTAAATAATTGTTGATATGAAGGCATTTTATATTTTGGCATCGAATGACCACCACCACCACCACCTCCTTTCATGTAACCACCACCACCACCTCCTTTCATGTAACCACCACCACCACCTCCTTTCATATAACCACCACCACCTTTACCATAAAGTTTTCTAACTTGTTGCCGATAAAAACTTAATGGCGTTCCATCATCGAATGCTTCAACTACATGACTACCGCTCATCATATATCCACTTCCGCCACCACCATAACAGCATTTACTATTACCACCACCACCACCGGGAGATCTAAATAATAAAACAAATGAAAAAAAAAATGATGGATTAGGCAAAAATTATTTGATAATTCATGTGTGAATAAAGAACAAACAAACAAACAAACAAAAAAAATTCACCAATAAAATCAAATGAAAAGTTTATTTTACAACCGCTTCATAAACTTTGAAAATTTCTAATAATAATAGTAGTGAATACTTGGAAAAAAATCAAATTTTTCCAAGTCCGGTAGTTGTTTTTTTTTTTTCTCTGATCATTTAACAAGCCAATCTGATGCTGTCAATTTAAATTTGAAAATATTTACTGCTTGCAAAAATCGTGATATTACTGGAACAATGAATGATACGTGGTCGAAAATGTTGTTGAATTAATTCAACAACACTTTTGATTTCTTGTTTTTTTTCTGCCTAAATTTATTTTTCTCCATTTTCACCTTCATTACTATATATCATTTTTTTTAAATAGCTATCCATTTGGTCAAATGTCGTGTATGGAAAAAGAGATGAAAAAAACAACAGAACAGACAATTTTTTTTTTTTTTTGTTTCATCATTTTGGCATGATACACTCACAGATACAATAAGTACAACACAGGCTATTATTTTTTTTTTTGATGATGTTGAAACAAAACCAGAATACAAAAACCAGATGATGATGATAATAATTTTTGGACAAAATAAAAAAAATCACGTAAAGATTTGAGGTAAAAGTGAAAAAAAATGAAAACCTGGATCATGTTGATGATTAACATCATTACAATTCAGTTTTTTTATTTTTTTTTTTTATAGCAATGATGATACGTTCATGGAAAAATTGATCAAAATGATTATGATGATGAAAGATGATCAATTTCGTCCATTTTTTCAGCGTGGGAAACATAAAACTTTTATGTTACAAAAAAAAAAAAAAATGGAAACCAAAAAATTTTTATGAAATATCAATTATAAAGTAGACCCACCTTGTTATGGTGATGGTGAACAATGAGAATAATTCAATTATAATTTTTTCTCTCAAATTTTAATCAACTTTCATCATTTCAAAATTAATAAAATTCAAATCGAGATCATTATTTATGAACATCATTATCAATGTTTTTTTTGGGTCAAAAAAAAATTTTTTTTTATTTACAAATGATCATAGGACACGGATCATGTATTATTATCATCAAAAAATTTTTTTTTGTTCAAGCCCAAACCCATCGAGACTATACTGTTAGATGACCGAACCACTTTGTAGTGTTACATAAAATTTGCATAAAATTTAAATTTTTAATCAACATAATTATCTTTGAGTCAATTTTCTCAAAAAATGAATATATGGCCACGTAGTAACGTCATAAATAAACAGATACATCTTGATCTAGATTATGATTTTTTTTTTTGAATTCATTGAAATGATAATTTGATCATCTTGATCATCATATAATAAATGTTGAGAGCTAGAAACACACCACACACACAGTATCGAATAAAAAACAGATTAAAACTAAGTGAATGTATCTAAAAAAAACCGACAACACGTTATTTCATAACGTGATGATGATGATTATAATCATTATGGATGTAATATGAAATGAAAATTTGATGGCATCGTTTTCGTTGTTTCTATCTCTAAATTAACACACACACACACACACACACACACACTTTTTTCTTTAAGTACATTTTAGTTGTTGTTGATGACGATGATGTGATAGAAATAAAAACACGTGAACACATTTGATATGGTCAAAAAAATTTCTCGTTTTCTACTCATCATCATCATAATGATTATGATCTATACATAGATATCCTGCATTACAACAAAGTGGAAAAAAAATCTGAATGAATGAAATTTTACTTTTTATGGATTTTATGTGCCATTTACCTAAATGATCTTGTATTCGGATCTTTTTTTTCTACATGTTTTTACATTAATTGCTGTTGTTAAGAACAAAAAAAAATATTCGGAACAAACATTTATACGAACATGGAAGGTAATATAATTTTATTTAGGAAAAAAATCATCTTGTGTGTGTTCATAAAGATGACATCGGATTGATAAACAATGAACTTTTAACCTGAATGTATACACATTTTTTTTTTGTTATTCAGTGTCAAATGACATTATTCATTCAAATTTTCCGATGATCTTTGATGATATAATGATAAAATTCATGGTATAGTGACAATAATCACAAAGTCGAACAGGTAATAATAATACACTACTGCTAATGATTTTGTCTCTTGTTTTTTTTCAGTTAAATTTTTCTTTGAAAAACCATAAGCGTCGATAATGATTGATTGAGAGAAAATTTTCATTTTTTATATGAATTTATTAATGTAATATTCTACCACAAATACTAATGATAATGTGGAATGAATAATTGTTTGGTTTTCATTCATTCAACCGTCGTTTTATCGGCCATTTGCATGACATTTATTTTGGAATCAGAGCATAGAAATGTTCATGTTTCTCAGAAAAAAAACAGACAGAGATAGAAAGAGACAATAGAAACCATTATTGATAAATATGATTATGATTATTTCATAGAACTAAAATTATCATTATCATTATCATCAATATTTTAATCAAAAATGATGATAAAAAAACCTGTTGCTATTTATAAACCAACTGTGTGGTTTACCATTCATTTGTTCATTCTAAATAAAAATCTAAATAGGTGAGAAAAGCTGTTAATGAATGTTTTGTTTGTTTATAATCATGTGAATTGAATTAATAAATAAAACACAATTGGAACAGGATAAAATTTTTTCTTTTACCAATTTCATGTTTGTTTTGATTTCACTTTTGTTATCGAAATGTTTTTTGTTTTCTATTTTTTTTTCTCAAACATTTTTGGCTCGACTCAATGTTAACCAATCAATATTTTGGAAAAAGATTTATCGTGTGAATAATGATCATGATTAATATGAAATAAAATGATTTGAAGAAAAAAAATGCAGACTACAAAAAAAAGGATTGTATTAGAAGCTATCCTGCAGTGAAATGGACAATAATAACAAATGAATAAAAGTGAAAACAACGACAACATACACAAAATATCAAAAGATAATCCCGGAAAGAATTAACGTAAGTTTTATGTTACCAATCATATAGTAACGTACGTATGGCCATTTTTTCTCCTTCAGCATCATCATCATCATCATCATCATCAATATCATAACATTCAAGATGACGATAATGATAATGATGATATAGTGAAAATCAAATGCAATGATGGTATGATCATTATTAGATGACACATATGCATATATACACACACACATCATGCCACCGATGATGATGATTACAATGAAAGCAATGGATGCTACGGTGTCCGTACTGATTTTTATCTACATTATTATCTACAAGAAGATTATGTTATAATCGGAATCGAAAAATTGAATTTGTTGGTATTTTTTTCTTCAAATACAAAACATCATCGACAAAAACAAACACTTTTTCACAGTTTATCATAGCAATTCAAATGGCAGAAATCATGGATTTTTTTTCAATCAGTACCACTGGCTACTGTCGTCTGTTATATGAATATTCAATCCATTACAAATGCAAATTTGAAAAGAAAACACATCCAAGTTATGATCCGATTTCTATATAATTATGATCAGATTAATAAATGGCTACTGTGTAAGTAAATGACAACCTGTTGAATCGGATAATAGTGAAAACAATCTTCCGTATGAATATTTGCAAAGAAAAAAAATGTTTCCTTTCATTGTTTTTATCTAAAAGTTACAATCAGAGACCAAAAGAGACACACACACACACAATTATCGATTTTATCATAATCAATTCAGCAGTTGAATAGTAAAGATTCAACTTGTAAGCTCATTATTCATCATATAATATAACTTGTTCGTGTTTGCCATGTAAATCGATTTCATTTCATTACAATTTTTTCAATGAAGAAAATCTAAAAGAAAATGAACGAAAAACAAAACGAATAAGTCATTATATAATAATCTTCAATTTGGTTTTTTTTTCGTTTTCCATTTGTTAGTTCTTGCCAAAATGATGGCTAATAAAGATTGTTAATTACAAACAAATCGATTATTTTCCGGTAGTCGATGATCCAGGAACAGTTTAGGCATTTTTCTTTCCTTCTTCTTAACAAGCCCAATTAGGCATAGCCATCAACGGCATCAAACCGGAGTCAACATTTCCTTGTTGATGATTTTTCTTTTCGATGATAAATAAATAGATTATTCATTTGTTCATAATGGCAAAGATGAACGCCTTAGGTATTTTTTTTCTTCATATTTTGAAGAAAAAAAAACATTTTTCTAGATCAATTTTGATTTTGACTTTGGCTGGATACAAAATACGAACAACCATTGTCTTTTGCAAACACAGCAACCATGTTTATCTGTTGTTTTGTTTTGTTTTGTTTTTTTTTGGGGTTTCCATCAATTTCGATTTCGATTTTATGTATTGTTGCCATGAATGGTCTTTGTTTTTTTTTCTTTTAAATCTTTGTCGTTTAATCATTTGATGATGCAATTGTGAAAATAAATAATTGAATAATTTCAAGGAAGAAACAATGCATTGAATCGGATTGAATGAATGAATGAATAGGCGAGAAAAAAGCCATTAGATTTCTTTTTTGTGTTGTTCTGAATTTTTTTTCATTTCAACACTTGTTGATTGGGTTGATTTATCGATTGAAAACTTTTGATAATAATAACAAAAAATAAAATAATGATGATTGAATTGAATCATGGAACAGAAAAAATGAAACATCAATGAATTTTTCAAAATGTGTGGAAAAAAAACTTGATTGTTTTATCTGATATATCGATTACCGGACAACGATTTGATCGATTCATTTGTTTTTTTTCTTCTTCGTTTCTTGTTTGATTGCGAAACGTTTTGACGCTTTTTGTATGTTTTCCATACAAAAAAAACAAGACAACAGAAAAAAAACTTTCACTCTATAGAGTAGGTCAGATTTTTTCGTTTTTGTTTCTATTATCATCAAATTGCTAAAATCATCAAATTTTTGTCATCAACACCATGGCCAAAATAAAAGTCCAGATTTTTTTTTCTAATACTTTCAAAAGAAAGTTGGTCAATAAGAAACAAAATGAGTGAAAAAAAAAATTTGATTTGATCAGCTGATCGGTCAATGATGTTCAGTTAGATTGAAATAAACAAAAAAAAAAAAAAAAAAAATGCACACACCTTTTTTTCAACTAAATCAAATAACTTGAACTTGGATTTTTTTGGATGATTATGATGATGAATCCAAGTAAAAAAAAATTATATAATCCATTTGTTTTTTAGTTTAATCAAAACAAAACAACAACAAAAATGAATGCTTATGCTCATTATCATCCACATTTCATATTAAAGTTGAATAATAATTATTCTACAATCACTATTGATGATCAAATCGAATGAAATGAATGATCAACAATTTCTCGAAACAACGACGAATGGCAAACAAGAAAAAAAAGTTCAAATATTTACATTCAAAACTTCATAGATTTTACTACGGACACATATTTGCCAGTAGCAATGAAATTATCATACACACACACATACAAAAAAGATTTTTCTTTCTACTTCTTCACTGACATCGTTACACCGAACATATGTATTTTGTATTATTCGTTATTGTTGTCGTTTTTTTTTGAAATTTCAAAAAATGTTATGATACATTCGATTTGTGTGTGTGTAGTGTATAATGTATGGGTGAAAAATACGAAAACTTGAATAAATTCAACCTATTTTGCCTGAAGATACAGACACATTCACACACGTGGAATTTTTTTTTTCACTTCTAACTTGATAATGAAAAATTATTCAACAACAACAACAACAACTTTACTTGTCCGATATTATTTATCCGAATAATGACATCAATAACAAAAGAGAAATTCATGAATGACAAATTTTCATTTAAAAATATTATCGGTAAGGATAATCTATGTGCACTTGGACTAAATTAACGATTTATTTTTTTCCAAAAATAGCCATTTCATTCTTCCCACTATGTGGTGACAAATGACATAAAACAACAACAACAACAACAACGACAACAAAATTTCGTCGGAAAAATTCGTCGGAAAAATTTTCATTCCTCACGATAATGGTAATGAGTGAATATCACCTTTGAAATGGATAAAAAAAAAAATACCATTGAAAAATGCTTATGAAATTTCACATGATCCGACAGTTGTTCAGCAATGAAAAAGAAAAATTCAATTTATTAAAGAAAAAAAAGAGAATGAAAAGTGAAAAAAAAATTTGAATGATTGCCATCACTCACTTCGGTTACCGTGTATCACTTTCATTTTTATTTTATTTTTTTTTTTATTCACTGAAAAATTCAACATCATCCATCCGTTCAAATGTAGTAGTCTTTTTTTATGCAATGACATGCAATTTACAATTGAAGATATACATTCAAAAAAAAAAAAAAAAAAAATCATGGATGTCGTTGGACAATATGTGACATTTTAAATTGAAAAAAATTTTCATTTCTCTCTCTCTCTCTCTCTTACACTACACATGTTTTTTTTCAAATTATCATCATCACTATAATGAAATAACAATTGTAATAATCATCGGTCAAATATGTTTTTTTTTCTTATTTCGGTCAAATATGAATGTCCACGAATGTTCAATGAGATGATGATGATGATGATGATGATATATCCTCCGGTACAAAACAATATCATAGTATAGTTGTCTAATATTGTTCATATTTTGAATGTTTTTGGAAAGAATAAAAATTGTGTTCATTCATTTTACAAGTGATGAAAAAAAATTGATATTTTTTTCCATCGTTGTCAATGACAATGAAGTCATCATTTATTTATTATTATTGTGTTTATTTTCCGGATTTTTTTCGTATTTTTTTTTTTTTTGTTTCGTTTTTTTTCTTTGAATATTATTATTATTAATATTTTTTTTTCGATTCTCATACGATTCGACAACAACAAAAATGTTTTCTTTTTTTTTAATGATGTAAAATTATTTTAAAAATAACGAAAAATTGATGACCAAACTGAATGGAGAAAAAAAACAAACATTTGAACTTTTAATCGCTTCAAATGGATATTATGTGTGTGTGTGTGTGTGTGTGTGTATGTCCGTCGTTTTCCATCATTTTTTTTTTATTGAAACAAAATTGACAATTGATCATCATGAACTTTTTTTTTTGTTTGTTCCCCCTCTCCTGAATTTTTTTTCCAATAAACCATATTATGTAATATATTATTTTTACAACAACAACAACAACAAAAAAATGTGCTTAAAATTCCAGGAAAAAAACAGATTTTTGTATCAAAAGAAAATTTTTCAATATGTCTTATGGAAAACACACCAAACACACACACACACACACACACATATATGAATCATTATTATTATCACTTACGAAATTTTTATTTTGAATGGTATCATGCCCATAGTTGCTTCGACTAGTAATATATTGTTTGTATATAACGACAATATGGACGCTACAATTATGATTGCCCAAAATAACTGAGGCGTAGACAAATAATTTAGATTTGGATGCATCATTATTTGATGATGATGATGGCGATGGTGATGGTGATGATGGTGATGATTTTATAATAATAATTGAAACAATGATGCAATACACAACCAAAAAGAAGTGAAAATAAAGGAAAAAACAATCAAAAAACAAAAAAAAACAAAAATTCTGACGTTGATGCGTTTTGTATTTTTTCCGATGATGATGATGATGATGATGGCAATGTTGTTGTTGTTGTTGTTTTTGTTGTTGTTGATGATGATGATTATTATTTTAAATCACAATGATGAATAAAACACACCGGCATTCAATATACAGAAATTTAAAACTGAAATAACAAATGAATTTCTTTTTTTTTCTCTGTGTGTGTATGTGTTGGTGGCTGCTATTTTTGTTGATAATGACGACGACGACGACGATGATGATGATGATGATGATAAATATGAACAAAACAAAATGACAATCGATGGATCAAACAAGAACACATAAAACATACAACAACAACAACAACAACAAAATATTCGACAGAAACAATATTGAATTCTATAAAAAAGATTTGTTTTTTTTTCAGTAGAAAACTAGAAAAAAATTTCAACTTTATCCTTTTGATCAAGACATTTTTGGTGTGCCAGCACCCAAACAAATGATAATTTTACATTGAACAACATTAGAGATAACCCAAAGATAAAGATAAAGATGATGATGATGATGATGATAATAATGATCAATGATTGACCAAATCCAATCGAATAAATTGGTCAATTTTTTTCTAATCGAAATTCGAATAAAAAAAACAAACTTTGTAGACAACACAAAATAACTGTACAAGAACACTCTATGGTATAAAAAAATGGAACGGAAAAAAAATAAAATTGAAAAACTCAATAAATCAAATTTTTTTTAGATATCAAACAGTTGTTGATCTAAACACATAAAACACACACACACACACACCAGAAAAAATAAAATTTCTTTCATTGAATCTTGAATTTCATCATAAGATTTGCATCAATATAAATGGAAAACACGATTTAATTATTTGCTAATGAACAAACGGAATATATGTTCACCATAAATGATAAAACAATTTTGGTTTAGTTAGCTAGTTAGATCATGATGATGATGATGATGATGATGATGATCAACAAACAAGAGGATACAAACAGATCGTAACGGTAAAACGATCGTAAGGATCTCAATAAATGAAGTGGAAACTTAAACTTGGAAAAAAATCTTTGGATCCCAAGTGAATACAAAAAAAAAAGAAAGAGAGCCAGAGAGAGCGAGAGAATTTATATGTATGTGTGTGTGTGTATGAATGTATTTGTATATGGAACAAATATAAAAAAAAATGAAAGAGAAATTGCCATAGACTTGCATGATCATCATCATCATGATCTCTCCTTCAAGTCATGTCTATGCGGTTTTTTGGAAGTCATTTTTCCTACTTCATCTTCTTATAACGATGATGATTATCATCGTCATTATTTCAACCGTCTTGTTTATTTCTTTTTTTTTTTGATATCTGGTTCCATATGGTTTCAATAGTTGATAGTAGTAGTTGCATACGGATTTTATCCTTATAAAATCGATATACCAATCAACCAAACGATTAACCATCAAATGAGAGATAATCCAATATATTCGAATTTTGAAAAATTCAAAATGAAAATTAGGAGAAAATGGAATGATAATCATTGTGTATTATATAATAATTCATTTAAAACGATTCATCGACATTCGGTACAATTGGCCCTTTTATGTTCCTGTTTTTATTGTTGTTGTTGTTGTTGTTGTCGTTGTCATCTTTATCGACAATGATGATGACGCTGATGGACAAAGATTTTCTATGTCAATGATAAATATCGTTATCATTGTATCATTTGTTAGAATGTCATTTCCATTTTCCAATTTAAACATAATTTTTTTTCTGAAAAGTTTTTGAATATAAAGAGATTGCAAGATTTGTAAAAATGAAAACATAGACAATTCATGATGATTTGATTAGTTGATCATTTTCAAAATTTTTTTCTAAACAATACCGAATTGGCAAAAGCATTAAAGATCGTCTGGTCATCCTTTTTTTCCGATGAGATGATCCAGGATCGATCTATTTGACCCATTTTATCATGATGGTAACTAAAACAGGATTCAATCAATTGATTTCACTTTTCTCATCATTCATTCCCGATGGGAAAAAAGATGAATCAATTTGACCATCTTAAATCTGTATATAAAAGCTATATGACGTTAGTTTTATTTGAATTTGGAACAGCTGTACGGAAAAAAAATATTGATGATGATGATGATGATGATCGACCGTTACAAAAACAAAATTAGAAGGCTGTAACTTTAATGAAAATTTAAAATAAATTCATTTTCATTCATCTTTTTTAGAATGAAGATCCATTCAACTCACTCATTAGTTGGTTGTTTTTAATTTCTTCATTATATATTGTTTACGGTTTCTGGAACTATGCACAAAATAAGGAAATCTTCATTAAATTGAAACTTAATAAAATTAAGTGCAAAAACTTTCTTTTTTTCCCTCTGTGAACAGTGTGTGTGTGTGTGTGGATCGCGGTCATTGAAATCATCATGTTATCATTTTAGCAGCATCATCATCTTGATTATTTGTTTTTAAAGGGATTTGTCAGTTTACCAATCAAATTTACTTGTGTGTGTGTGTGAAGATTTACCGGCAAACGTCATCATTATAATCATCATTTTAATCAAATCAAATCGTTCGTCAAGATTATCATCATCATCATTATATTATTTTTATTATTTTGGTCTGCCAAATTGAATCAATCACCATTTTGGGTCAATTCAGATTTATTTTTGGCTTCATAAGATTTAATGTATGATGATGATGAATGTTGAATATCATCATCACCACTGTTGTCATCAAATTTTCAGTACATGTAAGGTAATCAAATTTTTATTTATTTATTTTCATTTTTTTTTTTTCATTGATCTCCGTTGTCATCGATTTCATTTTATTACAAACAAACAAGGAACTGATTTGTTTTATTATTTTTGTTTTCACGGTATTTTCATTTCCTTTTGTTGTGTGATCATTCGATTGAATATACTATATCCATGATCCATTAGCATAATAAATGAGTTAAAAAGAATGAAGAAAAATATCGGGTAAAAAATACAGACACAGAGAGAGAGAGAGAGAGATAAAAAGAAAAATAAAATCTCAAAATGATTATGGACACTTTGTTGGTTTTTATTTTCATTTTTCTACCATCATCATAGATGGTGAGCATCAATTTTCATTTTCTATCGGGACATTTTGGCCCATCGGGTATCTTTTTACAATATAATGATGATCCTGCTCATGATGATGAGTTAAAAATAAAAAAACGACATCATCGTTGTTTGTATCATCATCGACATCGGCCAATCAATGATGATTTAATTGACTATATGCTATATGTACAGATAAAGAGATATTGATGATCGAATCATTTTCACTAATGTGTAGTTCCGCTTGTTTGTTCATTTTTTTTTCGTTCGTTCATTCGTTCATCCGTTCATCCGTTTATCACACAAATTTCGCAATAGATTAGATTTTTTCTATTTTTTCCATCCAAAAAAAACCACAATTATTATTGTATCTAATAGGTATTACATACACATTTTTCAGGTTTTTTTTTGTTTTTATAGTTGAAATGGTAACCATTCATGATGATGATGATGATGATGGTTACAAATCACGTCGATTATTGATCATTAATTTTGATTTTTATAAGACTTTTTCTTTCACTCTTTTACTTTTGGATTTAGATTATCTTGATGATTAAAAATTTCATATTTCTAAACACATACAGATAAATATGCAATAAGATTACAATCCAATTCATCAATCGATTTCAATGATCTGTTGTTTGAATCTATTTTTTTTATAAGCATCATCACATATATGTTTTTATAATTGTGGTGATGACGGTTGATTGTTGTTGTTGTTGTTGTTGTTTTCAGATTGCGAATTTATTATTCTTAAAGCATGTATAAATTTAACTTAAAATGGACATACATGTGATTATTAGATGAGGAAATTATACACACATACACACACATATACAGACACACTCAAATATTACATGGGTAAGTCTGCGAAAAAAAAAACTAGAAATCTAGGCGCATTTGATAAAAATAAAAACAAAATTTACAATGGCAAAATGTAAGAAAAGAAACCCTATGCGTGTTTACCTGTGTGTGTATGTGTGTTGATTTCTATCCAAAAACCAAATTATAATCTTTCAAAAATTATAATAATAATGTTGATGGATAAAAACAAAGAAAAAAGCGATAATTATGTTCAGAAAATAGTATCCAAAAGGTTTATGGATACAACAACAACAAAATCACGTGCCGAAATTTTTTTTTTTTTCTTTTTCCTTGGCATCGGCAATTTTGTGTGTTCAGAAAAAAAACCATTGCTCTTAATTGCTCCAGATTTTTGTTTTTGACTCAAAGATCTGTTTAAATAAAAAAAAATCAGAACACTACGTTGGCGTTTTAAATCGATTTCCGAATTGCTGTAGGCATCATTACTCCTTATGATGATGATGATGATGATAATGATGATGGAAAAACAATGGAAAAACAAATATGGATGCAAATCATCATCATTTCAACATTATCATCACCGGGACAATCATTTAGTTTGACCATCAACCAAAAAAAAGTATTCGTAATTTTTTTTCTTCTATTGTTTTTTTTTCTTCGGTTTCCACACAATCAATTGTGGGTGAATATAATGTAATTCATCTCAATAAAATATCGATCAAACATTCTCTAATATCATGGATATTCATCTTTGTCCAGATATATTGAATATAAAATGATTGTGTGTGTGTGTGTTAATGGTTAAAATATCATTTTTCAAACATCATTTTTTTCTGCTACTTGTTGTTGTTTTTGTAACTAATAATGGCCACCAAATATTCATCAATCATCATCATCATCATCAAGATCGAGATGATTGTCGATATATACCAATCCTATTGTAGTTACGAATTTCGTTTTTCAACTACTATTTTTTTTCTCGTTTTTGTTTGAGTTTGGTATATATGTTGTATTTACTTTTTAAAGCATTGA